GCAGGACGCGAGGAGGAAGGGGACACGGGGCAGCGGAGCTGAGCAGCGGGAAGGGAAGGGAGCTCCAATTAAGCCCAGGAAAAGGTAAGAGTAGCAATGCAAGGCCAAGAGCCCCTGAGCAAGAGGGCTGGACCTGGGGGGCAGCTGCGGGATCCTGGGAAGGGGGCCCGCCCGTGAGAACGTCCTCAACAGCCCCCTTGGATAAAAAGCGTGCGAAGCCCTGTCGGATTGCTGAGGTTACGGGCCCCGACTCACTCAGACAGACACCCTCAGCCCCCTGGTTTCCGCAGGTAATGCCACACAGGTCTGGCCGGGTCGCTTCAAGGCAATCCTCCCCCCGGAAGGACGCGAAACGGGCGCCCCGGCCGACCTTCCTCACAGTATCTGAGCTATTGCAGGTGGCTTTGGCACAGCGCCAGCCCTGACGGAAAGACCGAGGTCATTGCACGCCACCCGTTGACAGAGCAGCCCCAAAGGAGCCCACCTGGCATCGGGAGGGGGCGCGGTGGGGGCGCTCATGAAGGAGGACTCTGCTGGGCAAGGTCAGCCAATAACGCCCGGTTCACTGGGGGGCAAAGCCGCCCGTCTTGGGGGGCTCTACCACCCCAGGGCGAGGGCAGTGCTGGGTTTCACCGCAGCCAACAGACCCTCCAGGGAGTCAGCAGGGGCCCTGTTCGACTCGAGGGGGTTAAACCTTTCTTAGAGAAATGCCTGGTGGGATGGGCGCACGGAGGGCCCCGGGGACTGCAGCTGTGGTCACCCACAGGCTCATCCCCAAAACGGACGGGGAGGCACTAAACTCCCCTGGATTCACCCGGCTGTGCCCACCCTCCTGCTGCCTCTCCTTCCTGACGCAGCCATCCTGCACCCGGAGGGGCCGTCTCCAAGGTCTCCTGGGGGCCCGTCCATCCGTCCGTCCCTCCCTCTGCAAGGCAGGGCTTCCGTCACGACGGCTGTTGGGAGCCACCCCACGCTTGCAGAGGTGGGCCCCACCTGGCCACAGCAGAGCTCTGCCGCCACCAAGCCCCATCCGTCCTGGGGCTGGGCCGGTACGGGGCCCCAAATTGCTTCACTGCCAGCATCCAAGAGCAAACGGCAAAATATGGAGGTGCCATTTCTCATGGACAGGGCAGTGGAACCGGTGCCTTCGACCTGCCAGGGTCTCGAGGGAGCCGGAGCCAGAGGGAGGCATGGGGGATGTGACTGACCCGGCGACAGAGCTTTCAGCTCCCCCCCCGGAATTTCCACGTTGAGGGGCTGCCCAGGGACCCAGAGAAGGTGGCTTCTTTTGAACACCTTCCAGAGAGACTGAATCGATGCAGAAACTGCTCGATGAGGAAGGGCAGCCAAGAGGAGAAGGAGGAGGAGGAGGAGGAGGATTTGGGCTAAGCCCCCAGCCCCATGGCAGTCAGGGGAAGCTGTCCCAGGGCGAGGCCCCATGGTAGAGCCCCACAGGGCCCGGG